GGAACTGCCCCCCAGGGCACCTGGCAGGAGCAGGGCAGGCCCCACGGACTCCTCACCTGTAGTCTTGAAAGCTGGGCCTGTTTCTCAGGAAGGTCCCGCTGAAACCCATCCTCGGCTTGGACCCGGATTTGGAGGTCCGAGAGCTTCCTCTGCAGGGGCTCGAAAGCTGCCCCAAAATCTTTGTGCTGAGCAAGCAAACTCTGTGGCGAAACAGGAGGGGCACGTAGCGGTGAACTTGCCCCCACAGGCTCCTGCCTGCCCCACCTGACACTCACACCCAGCTGCCCTCTCCTGCCCTCTCCTGACCGGTTTATTCCCATTTAGGCGTCACCTCCTCCAGGAAGCCTTCTTGGAGCTCTGGAGGGGGTTGATGCTCTTCCCATAGTGACTTCACACAACAGTCACTCTGCCCGCTAGGGCAGGGACTGGCAAACTACATCTGGTACCCTGCACCCCAAATCCCGGAGGCCGTTTTGCAAGAAACATTTTCTTGAACATCCCCTTGCCTGACAGCTGTTGCCTGTGCCACGGTGAGCAGAGGAATGCAGCAGACTCTGCCGGCAAACCGAACAGGCTTGCTAGATGCTTCCTGGGGATTGGCTGGGACCACGGACGAGAAACGCTTCACGGGTGCGCCAGGCCCCGCATCCGTCCGCAAGAGCTCGCTGTGGTCACCTCACTAGATGTTCAGTCTTTGCCACATCATAGCCTAAACTGTCCTCAATGGGCCACGATATGCGCTTGACTTAGTGTGGTCACTTAGCACCATGCCCCTCTCAGTAAAGGCTTCCAGCTCGCCCGGGGTTGAACATTGAGTTTTTCTCTGTGTTTTCTCTCGGCAGCCCCCTCCCCTTCAGCTGCCCCCAGCTTTCCTTGGAGGACAGTTCCAGTTTGGCTTGGTCAGTTTGGCTAGTAACAACCCGTCTCATATAGTGGCGCGGCCTCTGAGTTAAAAGCTTTAGTATGAGCAGAGAAACTGCCTCGCATTGCCATGTGTGGGGGCAGGCCAGACGCCTACAAAACTGGGGGACATCCCCAGGAAGCCCACCCCGTGCACAGAGGTGGGGGCTCAGGGGCAGGTGAAGTCCAGGGCACCCCGTGGCAGGTGGCGCAGCTGAGGTCAGGATGTGGGGCGCCCAGAGCAGGGCCGCCCCATTGCTGGGCTCCACGTGGGGCACTCGCGGGGTGCTCGGCCCTGCTCACCTGCAGTTTGCTCTTCCTCTGCAGAAGGCTGTTGTGCAGCAGGTCTCGGTCCCTCACGGAGCTCACCACCTGCTCCAGCAGGCCCGTGGCCCTCTCGGAGCCGAAGACGCTGTCCAGCAGGTCTCTCTTCAGCTGCAGCATCGTCAGCTGCTCCTTGAGGCGGGAGCTCTCCGCCAGGGCCGCCTGTGGGAGACAGGCCTCCGTGAACCTCGGGGACTCAGGGGCCAGAGTGTGGGGACAGCCCGGCACAACAGAGGAGAAGGCAGCTGTGGGCACGTGGCGGGACTGAATTTCAGGTTGATCTGGTCCCTTTCCCACCTTCTCAGCACCGAAGCCGAGGCCCAGATGTGTCTCCTGCCTGTCCCAGAAATCTCTGATCCCTCTCTGTCCCCACTGCCACTGACTGTGCCATCACCTCGGCACGGAGGGCACCTGGGCTGGGGGCACCTGCCCCTGCTGCCCCAGAGTCAACCCTCCACCTGCAGCCGAGCCAGCCCCCCACTGGGTCCTCCATGATGTCCCACCAGCAGCAACAGAGGGGTCCCCCGCCCCCCAAACACACACAGACATGCTCCCAGGTGATGTCTGGGATATTCTAAGGAAGAACTTAGGGGAGCCAGCATGGCTTCAGGAAGGATCCTCAGAGGCAAGCAGGGGTAGAGGGCAGCCTGCAGGCCCCCCGGAAGGAGAGGTGAGGGCCTGTGGCTTAAGAACTACGGAGAGAGGGCCCTCCCTGGTGGCGCAGCGGGTTAGAGCACAGCACTGAGAAGCTAAAGCCACGTTCGGATGAGTTCGATCCCCGCCTGCCCCGGAGGAGACCACATGGCGCGGCAGACCTCTCCTGGCCCGCCCGCTGCTCCCCTCAGCAGTGTGCTTTGCCAGTCGGTCTGTTCTGCTCCCCACTCTGTCTCTGGTGAATCCTCTCACTGCCCCTGCACCTTTGGCCTGTACCCCAGTTCTGTGTGCATACATAAATAAATCTTTTTTTAAAAAAAAACTATGGAAAGAAAACAAACTCTTGTTCCAACTTGAACCTCAAGTGAAAACCCAGGAGGGTCAACACCCAAAATGCAGGCCCTGGTCTACTGGCTGAGTGCAGGAAGAGTAGCCCCAGTAATGGGTCTCCCATAAATCCAGAAACCATGATGGAGAAAGAGCCCTGACAGGCAGACAGTGGCCTCTGGCTCGCGGGTGACTTTCTTCCCCACAGGTCTTTTCAGGCTCCGAGTAGAAACGACTTCTGTCGTCACAGCGAGAGCCAGCACGTGCTGGGCTCCTGTCTCTGTGCCCGCATCTCCTCTTGCGCTACACGCCTGAGACTCTCGAGCCCCCGGAGCAGGTTAGGAACCACAGAGCCCACCACAGAGCCCACCACACCACCGCCCACCACACCACCGCTCTGTCCCGTGTCAGCTTTTCACCCAACGGCCATTGCACCTCCTCCCTCACTGACCACAGGATTATATCTGGGTGGCAACGTGCCCGGATACGGAGTTATGTCTACAGTTGGGAAAAGCCAACCCTTGCCATCTTAGCAATCGGTCTAGGAGGGTCATGTGACTCGTCTGACTGATGAGACAGAAGGAGCTTCTGGGAAGGACTTGCCTCCCTCCCGAGCATGGCTGATGGTGGAACCTGCTGCCCAGATGCAGTTCCTGCCAGCACGTGAGGTTGTCCTGTGAGGGCACGTGCTTGGGGCCACCTTGGTGCCCTGAAGGGGAACCTGCTTAGCGTGGGCAAGAGCCTGGGCTCTGGATGATAACACTGAGCTGTCAAGCTGGCATTGGGATTTCCTGAAGGTCTGTGTCTAGAGTCACCATTGTTCAGATGCACACGCGTCACATGCATCCTAATTGACACACAGGGAGAGAGTGGCCTGGCATGCTGCTCCAGCTTCCCTGGCTTCCACTAGAGACTCCGCAGAGGGGTCCTGGAGGGAAGGGCGGGGTGGGGGTCGGTGCGGAGCCCAGAGGTCACACCAGGCCCCAGACTTCACTCCCGTCTAAGCACAAGGTTGGCCGTTGGGCTGGTAACAAGCAGACACACTCGGGGCCCTGTGCAGATCCCCCGGAAGCTCTGCCCTGCTCCCAGGGGTCTGGACACGCCTTCCTGGGAGAGTGGCCGACGTGCCGGGCTGGGCGGTGGTCTCCCAGTGGTCAGTCCTCGTGGCGAGCCCCGGTTACCTCAAGCTGGGGCAGGAAGGTGTGGATGGAGGGCAGGTCCGGCAGGCTGGCGGTCACATCCAGGAGCCTCTGGGCCAGGGCCCTCCACAGCTGCAGGTCCTGCAGCGGCCGCTGGAGGCGCTGCCACAGCTCCACCTCCGCGCCGCTGCGGAGCCTGGTGCTCTTACTCTTCATGCTGCGAGGGCGGGGGCGGGCCCCCGGAGAGAGGGAGGGTCAGTCCTGGAGGGACGCGTCCGCCCTCCGCCGGGGTGCCCCGCCTGGACTCCGAGGGTGCGCACCCTCCCATCCCACGAGCAGAAAGGGCGTGTGTGGACTCTCGGGGGCCCGTACCCTCCAGGTAAAAGTGCGCCGGGGGAAGCCTGTCCCAGACAGACTTGCAGCCCCGCTTCGTGAGCTGAAACCACAAGCCCGAGACGCCAGCCTGGCTCAGCCTGCCCAGCACGCTGCAGAAGCGAAGCTTCTCAAGGAAGACGCCTCTAGGCCCAGATCATTTCTAGGAATAACCAGCTCATCACACCTCAACTCGAGAAGTTGGGGAAGAGGGAGGCCTCGCCTGGGTCTCACGCCGGCTATGCCGCCTGCTTGGACACAGCCCCACGGAGACACAGACTCTGCTTCTTCTGGGCCTGTGCATGCCCTGGGGGAGAGGCATGGCAAATCGGGGGCTCCTCGAGTCCACTCTGGGGGACCCCGCTCAAGCAGAGGATGGAGGGCCCTGGGCTGCAGGACTTTGTGCTGTGAACACCTCTGTCTCACGGGCAAAACAGGTTCTAAACCTCCTCTGCTCGGTCCCACACAGGCTGGCTATTTGCTATTCCGGTCTCTGCCAAGCTAGGAAATGGCAGACCCGAGGGCAGGGGCTGGTCTGAGGGGAGGCCGAGATGTCTGGTCAGCATGGCCAGCAGGCGGGGGAGGGGAGGCCTCGTGGCCAGTCCATGCCGCGCCCTCAGCGCTGCGAAGCGGAGGGGAAGCCTGGCGGAACCCGGCTCATGAGCAGCTCAGCCTGCAAAAGACAAAGTCCAGGCCTCTTTCCGGGGACAAAATGCAAAGCCCTGTCAGGAAGGGACCGTCCTGGGCCGAGTGAGGTCCTGAAACAGCCTGTGGTTGAGAGGGGCAAGACTTATTGAAGGGCCTGGGCGGCGGGAGAGGCAAGCCGTCTCCTGGAGACTGGCCGCAGGGCACAGGGTCTGCACAGGTACCTCTGGTACTCCTGGATGGCTGCCACGAGGCTGTCGGAGAGCAGCTGCAGGTCGTTGGGGAAGACCATGAGCTCCTTCAGCTGGGCCTGCAGCCGGTCCACCCGGGGCTCCTCAGCGGCCAGCGCAGCCCGGTTCTCCTGCAGCACACAGAACACCCCAGGGGCAGGTGAGGTTGTGAGAAAGTGTGTGTGCACGGGGCGGCGGCCATGGCCGGTGGCGCTGGGTTACCTGGGAGGAGACTGTCACGCAGGCCCTCCCCTGAGCTCAGGCCTTGCCACCGCTGGGAAACCCCTTTGGGACCCAAAACCAGTGATGGTGAATGCTGGCACCTAGTGGTGCAGATAGCAGTGTTTGGGGAGTCTGACCCCATGCACAGCACTCGAGAGACCCCCTTTATTTAATGACCCCAGAAGCCACTAAGAACCCCTGAAATGCTCCAGCCCACTGTGTTCAAGTATTCAGGCTTCCTCCTGCTGTCCTGGGAAGGGTAGGAGTTTGGCCGACCTTGACCCTGGCTGGGCGCATGGTCAGTAGGAGGGACGGTGGGGGCGTGGGGGTGCAGACGCCACTAAGGAAACCCACCTCCACACCTCCTACCAGCACACACTTGGGCTGTCGTCTTGCAGGTAAAACAGGGCCACTCCCCCTGGACAGGAGACCAGACACAGAACAGTGGCTCCACACTCCCAGAAGGCAGCTGCACTTCTGCCCAGATACTCCACTCACAGCTGCGATCTGGCTCAGACCCCGGTGCCCCCCACCCAGGTGAACAGGGTCCAAACTGAAATAGGGGGGCTCCGGGCAGGGGTTATGGGCAGGGGTGGGGGCCAGTCGTCCTCAGAACTGTTTCTGTCCATACTCAATTACTAAGCAAACGTCAGGAAATCTACAGACATTTTCACAGAAGACAAAGACACCCCGATGTCGGTGGTAGGCACAACTGGGTGAACAGTCCTGAGGTCCTGAGCCTCAGGGCCTAGGAAATTATGCTCAGGGCACCTCGACTCATTCCAGGCCCCTCCCTGCTCTCTGCGGGGAGTGTCTGGGACTGTGGGAGGCAAAATCAGTGGGAAATCACAGAGCGCCTGTGCCGCTTCGAGGTCTGTGCCTCTCACTGTGCTGGTGACCGGCAGAGCTTTGAAGCAGCACTCCTGAGTCAGCTTGTCCAGGTTCAAGTTCAAGTCCCTGCCGCATCTGTAGGGGCGGAGGCAAGTCCTTGGCATTCTAGAGACTGGCTTCCTGACACGAGCTATGCAACCTCTGTCATTAGACACGGTCTGGATGGAGGGGAATTGCTCTGAAAAGTCACACTTTCCACGCTAACTTATGTTATGACCTCCCTTTTTTGTATAATCATAGTATCAAAACATTCTGAGCAACTTTCAGCTTACAATTGGACTGCCTCGCCGCACAAGGCCTGCCTGCCTTGACAAGCAAGCACTGCACCAGGGTGAAAAAATTCCCCTGAAGTCAAGTGACTTGACTACTGACTGATAAAAGCAAAAGGGCTGTTTCTGCAAAGTCTCTCTCACTGCGGGATGGAGGATAACCCAAATCTTATCATTCTATTATCTCACCTAGCCTTCTATTCAGCTTTCTAAAGAATTTCTCAAACTTCCTATTGTTTGGCCTTTAGAGTGGAAATTCATCCAGGTTGCCTGTTTTTAAACTAATCAAGTTTTCTACCTGCTACACCTTATAGGAATCCACAAAAGTCTTCTGCCTAGTCTTTCAAGATTCTACTATGTAGTCTTCAGGAAAGGAAATCCATCTATGTCTCCTATTCAGAGATTTGATCAGCAAGGAATTTCCTCTTCTGCCTCCCAGGATGACTCAGGTAGAAAAACAAAAACCCATTAAGTAGTAGATAAGGTTTAAGGGACTTCTATCTTAGTTGATCTCCACTATAGTAATATTAGTCATAGACTTTGTGCACTTATGTACCTGTTTTTTACCTTGATTGATTTTAGAATGTTGTAATCTCAAGCAAGGGTCAAAACAAGCCCAAACTGTTCTTAGAAAAAAAAGATGATTGTAATCTCTCAGCCCAGTTCCTGTGCTGATGTAATCCCACTGCTTGCTCCTAATGTATAAAAATAAACCTCTGCTGAAGGCAGAGCAGGAAGACTTGCACCCAACTCCGACTCCCGAGTCTTCCTCACTCCCGCTCTCCAATTTGTAGAATATCGCCTCGCCGACGTCGTTCCCACCTTGAGACTCTGCCTGTGACAGCCTCTCTACAGCCTGAAATCGGGGCTGGTCCCCGACAGCTTCCTCACCTGGTAAGGGGACAGTGACACTGCCCCGCGTAGGACCGTGACACCCAGAGCGGCATTACTGGGGAGACGTCACCTGCCTTCGCCAGCTACATGGAAGGCGAACTTGTCCTTCTCGGGAGCCTCCCTCCGACCTGCTCTGACAGCTGAGACCCTGAGACGGCCTACTTCCTTGAAGTTTGCCTGTTTCTCAAAAGAGGTAAGAGTCCAGGATTCGTCCAGGTATCCTGGCAGGACGCTCAGAGAGCCGCACTCTTCCCTAGCTGTTCCCCACCTTGCAGCCACACCTGCCTGGTTCCCAGACACCCAGTTACTTGGGGTGAGAGTGGAGAGTAGGTTGGAGCAACTCAGGTGTCTGCTCCTTGCCCCAAGCAGCAACCACACAGATGCTGTTTAAGAGCAGCATTTAGTAGTAAACTCCGAAATTCCTTTTGTTGATTTCCGGTTAGTCACCACTTGCTCCTGATGAAGGTGAGACCTGAACTGGGTGGAGCAGGTGGCGAGCTCACGGGGTAGGGACACCGCCCACCTCAGGAGAGAGACAGCTGGGCGCAGGTGGAGCCGAGGCAAATGATTCACTGGCCCGCAGACAGGAAAGCACAAAAGGAAAAGAACTCATCTAGCGTTCACTTTCAGATTTGCTCCCACGGACACAACAGAGCCTGGATCTTATCAAACTGACACAAATGAGCCTGTGCAGAAGCTATAAAGCTTGTGCTGAGCCCCAGGCAGGTTGGAATTGGGAGATAAATGTGCAGAGGCAGGCTGCCCCGAGGGGAGGGCCGACAGGAGCGCCAGGACCCCACTGTCTCAAGGAAAGCGTCTCCTTCCACACGAACCCTGGGACTACTCACGAACTCGGCCCAGTTCGCATTCTTTGCCCACAGCCCACAACTTAGACAACAAAATTTGTTGTCAACCCCAGGCCCTGCAAGCGATAGAACCACCTTCTCCTCCCCAGCCAGGGAGACAGACGACTTGTGTTTTTCTCCTGTCTCCTCGACAGCAGACTGGCAACAAGACCTCTCTTCTCTCAGAAACCGGTGTCATCGTCATAGACTTCCACACGCGTGTGTGGCCAGCCCTTGGCTCCGTAACACAGGCAAGTGACTGTCCTGACAGAGACGTGTGGCAGTTCCCCTTGACTCTTATCCCTCACCTGCAGCTCATGGCAAAGTCCTCGGGAGCCCCGACTTTTGGGTGGGTGCTGTTGTAAGCATGTGTGAGTTCCCATGTTTGCAAGGAGTGTGTGAAATAAGCCCTGACGGCATCACCTTCTTTCACCTTTAACTGAGATTAAGCTTTCTCCCAAGTCACCCAGGTAGCAAGGAGAGGAACCAGGTCCGGCACCTGGGCAGTATCCCACGGTCCTCACTCTAACCACTGCGCCCCACCTTCTGCGAAGCCGGCAACCTCAACGGGACGCCGTTAAGCCCTGTGTGAAGTGGCCATAGCGGTGGGTTCGGGTCTACTGTGACGCTGAGTGACGAGAAGCCTTAGCGAGTGGGCAACGTTTAGAAGGGAGAGAAAAATAGGGCAGTCAAATGAAGTGGAGGTGGGGTTGGAGTGGTTTTCTTCTAGATGCTTCCCCCTCATGGCACTGACATGGACCTAGCCTGAGTTTATAAAGACGGGAATGGGAAGGCTTTCAATTCTCATTTTAAGAAGCTATGGCCGCAGGCCAGCCCTGTGCATGGGCTGGGGTGGGAAGACGTAACCTGCCTTTGCCAACTACATCGAAGTGCTGGGGTGCTGGGGTGAGGGTGCATTGATTGGACTTTGTGCCTAGGCTGGAACCACCTCCCCTCCCCATGAGGGGCACCATCTGAGGGGGGTATTCCCCATCACCTCCACACTAACAGGTTAAGTCTCTCTAACCTAACAGTTGCTGCTCTGTGCTTAGGAACTCAGCCCATGGGCCCTCTCTGGTGGCACAGC